TGATGGCCTATAGCTTGAGCGAGAGTTGGGTGATAGGCGAGAGACGAGGATTATGTTTTGGTCGTTGAGTAGTGTTCCTGCAATATGTTTGCGAAAATGCGACGCCTTGTTTCTCCTCTTTTATGCTCGAACCCTAGACCTCATAACTCATTTTATACAAATTGTACCCTAGATCCTTGACTTTTACAACAATTGTAAAATTAGTCCTTTTGTCCACATAATTGTCAACGATAAAAACCTAACAAATAGTACACAAAATCCCTTCTTGTATTGGGCCAATTTCACTACATCCAAAGAAAAGTAAAGACCCTTTATTTATAGAACAATTTATTTGCAATTAGAATCTATAAGCAAAGCACAATCGAGCCTCTAATAGGATAGTATGTCGTCTTCTTTACCATAGGCAGTAGTTTTATTTAAAGAGCCTTACCTGGTAGGCGGAGACATTAGCGGTTACAACGGAAACAAAACGGTAGCCTTCAAAGATCTTTAAAAAGAAAGGGGTGGTTTACGACCATTAAACCCATAGAGTGAAGAGCATACCTGCGACTTACGAAATGTCACTTCTCAATGTCCAGAGCATCCATGCCAACATAAAGAAATATGAATATTTCAGCAACAAATGACAATGTGGCAAAGGTGTGCCTGCAGAATAGTTGAAGACACAAATCAATAAGAAACGTCAATTAGTATGTAACTTGAGGTTTGGGAAGTGTCATAAGCAACATCGTATTCTAAAAGTTTTATGTTAAGATAAGGTAACGCCATACTTGGTCGTGATTCTTGACTTCTCAGTGACATTATGCCAGGTGTAGTGTGACATCACAATCCCGCAGAAAAACACAGCGAGGATAACACATAAATTAAATAACTGCATAACGTATCAGACAAAAAGAAAAGGTTCATTTTTTATATTAGAACACTTGGCAAAAGCTTCTTAGAAGTTGTCAATGAAGAATGCCTAGTTATATAAGCTCCTTATTAGTTGGTAATTGAAAATAATGCCCAGATTTCCCACCATAATAGACAAATGACAACGATAACTTCCATAACCACTGGCAAAATAGAAAATCGGCAAATTAATCTTCAAGACAGATGGGTGACAAGGTTATTAAATAACACAAAATCAGAATATTCGAATACAATCTTCTAAATCAATAGTAAATTTACAACTTCATTCAACCAAACTATTTTCATCATGTTTGGAAAGTATTTATAAACGATTTAAATTATAAGTATATAGAAATGAGTGTTGAATAAGTGGATAGTGCTTGCAAATCTGAAGTTTGACCAATTATAAAAAGTCTATTAACATTAGCCAAACATATGTAAAGAATGTAACATTTTTATAAATGAACATTTGCTATGAAATCAAATCAATCCCATATACAAAAGCGAACAATATATTTAGTAATCGAACAAAACATAGTCATTCCACTAAACCCAATTTATCCACAACTCGAGAACTCGAATTTCCACAAAATAACTTTAGCAAATAATACAATCAAAGTAATAAAAATCATCATGTGGATCTAGATGAAATGTCCTTCCATTTATGGCAAACCAGAACAGTAAGTGTATAATATAGAAGCATGTGATGACATGAGTATTAAAAATTTTCCACATCCACACATTCATATGCAATTAGAATAATATCTAGAGTTTTGCAGAGTCTCATTTCCTAAAAACTTAACATTTCAAAATACGAAAAACTTACATTGATTTACCGAATGTATGGATTCCTTCGAACTTTAATATTCCAAATCCTAAATGGGAGCTCATTATGGGCTTGGAAAGGAAGATTACAAATTTCAAACCTCAAAACTCTCCCTCAACAATCTTCGTCTTGATAGATATCAATGTCTTCGTTCAATTCAAAATCTTGAACAATCGTCGATCTTACAAGAAGGAGAACATGTGATTTTTGATGTCAAGGATAAAACGAGTTTTGGGAATTTGAAGGAAAGGTTTTCAATTTTTCATTTGGGCAAGCATATGATTTTAAAGATCCAATTCATTCTTCAATTTTGTTTTTTTTAAAAAAAAGGTTACAACAGTCTTTTCATACTTTTAAGTAGTTAAATTAATAATGTGTTTAACCTATATTATTTTGGAAGAATGTATTTTAAAATAGTAGATTGATGGAGAATGTGTGGTTGAAAAAAAGGAAAAATTATTTATGCGATGAAAAATGTTATTTTATTGAATAGTATATGATTGAAAATGATTGGAAGAATGAAAGTGAAAATTTTAACGTGGTTGAGAAAAAAGGGCTTAGGGTAAACAGGGTTTAAATTTTGACTATGTTTGGTACCAATTCTCATTTTCAACAATAAATCAATTCTCATTTTTAACCACACATTCTTCAATAAAATAATATTTTTTATTACATCAATAATCTTATCTTCTTTTTTAACCACACATTTCTCATCATATCACTATTCAAAATCAATTTTTCACCGTAACAATCCCAACCGAACACACTTTATTTTATTGAATTTAGTCAATGCCCATTTTGCACAAAAGGAGAGTGAGGGGGTGGCTACGAGAACTAATTCCACTATATTCTTCTCTCTAGTCTGTGCGGCAACAAATCAAATCCGTTTTCACCTTGTTTTTGAGATAAGAAAATGTATAATCTCGTTCCTTTTTCATTTATTTGCATCAGTAAATGGTTGGGTTTTTTTTTTATTTTGATTCATTAGTTTAGATTAGATCTATTAATGCCTTATGTTGTTTTAAATTCGTTAATATAGACTCCGTTTTTCATGCTATCAATCTGAAGTATGTGGCGTTTCTCTCTGTAAATGCTTATTTTTTCGTTTTTTGCTTGTTCTGTTGTCCGTAGATTTTGGCTTTCTGTTTGATCCGTGATGGGTAGAGGTTATTGTGAACTTTTGTTTATTTCTTTAATTGAAACTTGTTTTGCTTAATTTATTGGTAAGTGGGTTAATTAGATTTTAATTTTTCATAATTCATGGGTAAATGGGTCGGAAGGGTTTTACTTTTGCCCTAAATCGAAGATATTGAGAGATTGAAGGATGTGATTCATTTTCTCTCTATTTGCGTGTGGTTTTTTACCGAATATTTACTATTTTTACTTTAATTCTATCAATTTTTTGTATTTTTTTTTNGAAGAAGAAGAAAATTTTTGGGAATTTGAAGGAAAGGTTTTCAATTTTTCATTTGGGGAAGCATATGATTTTAAAGATCCAATTCATTCTTCAATTTTGTTTTTTTTAAAAAAAAGGTTACAACAGTCTTTTCATACTTTTAAGTAATTAAATTAATAATGTGTTTGACCTATATTATTTTGGAAGAATGTATTTTAAAATAGTAGATTGATGAAGAATGTGTGGTTGAAAAAAATGAAAAATTATTTATGCGATGAAAAATGTTATTTTATTGAATAATATATGATTGAAAATGATTGGAAGAATGAAAGTGAAAATTTTAACGTGGTTGAGAAAAAGGGTTTAGGGTAAACAGGGTTTAAATTTTGGCTATATTTGGTACAAATTCTCATTTTCAACAATAAATTAATTCTCATTTTTAACCACACATTTTTCAATAAAATAATATTTTCTATCACATCAATAATCTTATCTTCTTTTTTAACCACACATTTTCCATCATATCACTATTCAAAATCAATTTTTCCCCAAAAAAATCCCTACTAAACACACTTTATTTTATTGAATTTAGTGTCTGTTTGTCAACCATTATTGAGATGAAAATGGTGTAATGAACAGTATTTTTTGAAAAATGTGTGGTTGAAATTGAAAGAAACTTTATCGGTGTATGTGTAGAATATTTGAATATTTGAATTTGTGATAGAGATTGATTACTGTATAAAATAATTTTTTGAAAAATGGTAGACAAACATAGGCTTACTCAAAGCCCATTTTGCACAAAAGGAGAGTGAGGGGGTGGCTACGAGAACTAATTCCACCATATTCTTCTCTCTAGTCTGTGCGGCAACAAATCAAATCCGTTTTCACCTTGTTTTTGAGATAAGAAAATGTATAATCTCGTTCCTTTTTCATTTATTTGCATCAGTAAATGGTTGGGTTTTTTTTTTATTTTGATTCATTAGTTTAGATTAGATCTATTAATGCCTTATGTTGTTTTAAATTCGTTAATATAGACTCCGTTTTTCATGCTATCAATCTGAAGTATGTGGCGTTTCTCTCTGTAAATGCTTATTTTTTCGTTTTTTGCTTGTTCTGTTGTCCGTAGATTTTGGCTTTCTGTTTGATCCGTGATGGGTAGAGGTTATTGTGAACTTTTGTTTATTTCTTTAATTGAAACTTGTTTTGCTTAATTTATTGGTAAGTGGGTTAATTAGATTTTAATTTTTCATAATTCATGGGTAAATGGGTCGGAAGGGTTTTACTTTTGCCCTAAATCGAAGATATTGAGAGATTGAAGGATGTGATTCATTTTCTCTCTATTTGCGTGTGGTTTTTTACCGAATATTTACTATTTTTACTTTAATTCTATCAATTTTTTGTATTTTTTTTTAATTTGTATGTTTGTAATGGGACTTCATTTTTTACAGAATGAACCTTTTTGTAGTACTGTGTTAAGTAATTAACATTGGATAAAATTGATCTTTTCTGTGTAATTAACTCTGTTTCATGCACTAGCATAACCAAAAGAGAGTAGTTTGATATGAAATAAGATTGATATCAAATAGTAGAGTTTTTGATAAGAAAAATATTTGACAAGATATTCATAGGGGTGGTGAATCTTTGGGGATTGAAAAATTGGATTGATGTTAGTAGTATTAGCCTTTTGCATTTGGAAAACGGTTATTCAAGTCTTTCTAAGGCAATTCGTTTTGGTGTTAACAGGGACAACTATTTCATATTACCTATTGTTTGCTATCTTATTTATTCTTACGTGTATTTGTACTAACCATATTTTATCAGGTACTTGCTTTAAATTTTTTTTTTTCTTTGCATGATTGATAAATTGTGCCATTATAATTTTTGTAGATGGAGGCGCCCGCATTCCACTTCACCCCGGAAGGAGATGGTAATTTTTTAATTACTTTATGGCATGCTTGTTATTTTGGATTGGACAATACTAGACAAGATTAAGGAATATAAATAAGTTAAGATCCTGTTTATGACACATTGCAATAATGTTGAGTACTATGTACCAAACATTCTCTTAAATCACAAGCTGTATAAGCTCTTATTATCAATTTAGCTTGTTGATTACACTCTTTGCTTCCAAACATTTTTTGATATGTTATGTTTTTCTTACAACTTTTGACAATAATGTAAAATGACCTAAGCCTGGGCTTCAGGTCCAACTACTGTTACTGGAAACCTTCCTGATCGTGGACTTTTTGGCTTTCTTGGCCGTGCCCCTGTTGACACCTCCAATGGTTTTATGTCAACTGGTAATTTTCCTTTGTTGTCTGTTCATCTTTGTTATGTCAGTTAACAACTAGTAGACTCCAACGGTGAAAGGTTGTACCAATTCTTGCCATTTAAATTGTTCTCTCATATTCCAGTAATTTCATACGCAGGACCTCATTTCAATCCTGTTGGGAAAGAGCATGATGCACCTGGAGATGAGAACTGTTATGCTGATTATCTTGGTAATATCACAGCTGGTGAAGATGGCACTTTCCTTTGCTTTTTTGACTAGAAAATTTTGCACACTACTGTTATTAAGTTCTGTAGAAACGTATTATTTCCTTCAGTCATAAACGAAAGAATATAGTTCCTTCAATCGTAAACTTGCAAGAAACCTTTGGCTTCCAAACATTTTTTGACATGTTATGTTTTTCTTACAACTTCTGACAATAATCTAAAATGACTTATGATTAATGAATGTTTTAAGCTTAGCCAATCATGCTTTTTAGTTTCTTCAATCAAAGCTAGTTATGCTGTTGTGTTCACTTTTTTTCATTCTTCCCCTCTGGTGTATGTAGATGACCTCTGTAAAGTTTTGAAGTATTGCAAAAATTATTTGAAAACTTTCCAACAATATCGTTGAGGAAAATAAGAGGTCATCGCATATCTTTAGTTAGAGAATTTGAGCATTATAATGTTTAATCCCGAAGGTTCAGTTTAATGTAAACAAACAAAAAGATTGCAGGTGCTATGCTATATGCATTACAAAATACTTCCATGCTTTGTGACTTCTCCTTTTTCCATAATTTTAATGTTCAGGCACCGATACTATCAACATTGTTGGCGAGCTGGTGAATGATTCTTCATTAGTGTTTCAGCTTATAATATGTAGTTTTCTTGGACTAGTATCTTAAATTTTGGCTCGGTTTGCAGATAACTCTTACAGGACCACATTCCGTAATTGGAAGAGAAGTAGTTGTCCATGCAGATCCTGATGATCTTGAAAGGGGTGGGTATCTTCTATAATTTAATTACTGAATTTTCTATGCGTGACCTTGAACAGAAAACTGCTTACAATTGCTGTCGAGAAGAGAATGGAACGGTCGTCTCTCTCTCTCTCATACGTGGGGAGGATGGGGAAAGGGGGAGTTGGAAGAGAGCAAAAACCAATTCCTATTATTATGCACATCTGTCATGGTGATTAGTACCTAGTCATTTCACTACATTATAGTTGAATTTACTGGCAGAACTCGATGAAATTTCTTGAGTAATTGAATCTCTTAACAAGTAATATTCAAGCTTTTCATCCTGAAACTTATGGAATAATCTTTTCTATTTTCTAAAATCCTTTGGCTGGTTGGTTGATTGGGTGAGTCAAGGAGCACATTTTGAAAAGGTCCTAAGTGTTAGTGTCCCTGTTTCTTATACACAATTGTGTCTTCTGATGTTATCCTGGTTTAAAATTCTCTTTTACATTTTTAAATTTCCTGGCAGTTTACGAGTTACTCTCTGTTTCAGGTGGTCATGAATTGAGCGAGAGCACTGGAAATGCTGGTGGAAGAGTTGCTTGGGGTAAGAAACATTCGTTTATCTATTTTTGCCACTGAACTACTATGCGGCATAAGATATTTGCATGCACGGTGTTGAAAATATTTTTAGTTTAGTTTTAGATGAACTACTTTGTCCCGTAGGGTAGCTGAGGTTGCGTAGTGAGTTTTTAATGACAAAAAATCAATTCAAAACATGATACTGTTTGCTATTGTTCATTAGAGTTTGCTATTGTCCGTTCATATAAACGTGACATAAATGTCCTCCAAAAGTATTTGTAAGCTATTCTATATTGAAATCTTTTGATCTCTTCTCTCTCTGATTTGATGATACTAACGGGTACATTGTGTATGGGAGCATTTAACGTAATTTAAGGTTGAATAAATGAAGTTATTTCACTTGAATTGTCTTGAATGGTTTCCAGGTACTACAATTGACCAGGGGATTGCATGTGGTCTGATGTTGTTGGCACTGGTGCTGACATACTTCATCCACACCTCTGATGCTCCATCGAACATTTGAGATAATCAAGGATGGACTGTACATCTTTTTATCTTGTTTTGGAGTACTTGTAATTACCACTTTATATATGTTTGCCTATGCCTGGTATAGTTATATGAGTTTATGATCAATAAAATTTACGTTTGACGATAAAAAAAAAATTGGATGAGTTAGTAAACATATGCTTAGGTTTCATTCGTGGACTAAAAAACGAGTTATGAAATTATGTGAGTACGTGCTCCATTCACCTTACCAATCTCAGTGATCAATATGTAGCGTTCAAGGTAAGTAACTTCGATCTTCTTGTTCATGTTCTCTCTCCGAAAAGGATTTAAAGTCTGTCTAGTTGTATGATAGCCTGATCAGAAACCTTTCCTTCTCCCGATTAAAGAAATTTATGAAGTAACTAAGGCCCTGTTTGAAAGCTCTAATTTTCCATTTTTCGAAGTTTTGGTCTGTTTGATAGCCTCCAATTTCCATGGAATTCCTTCTCCTCGCTTCCCGCTCACGCCACTTTTCCCACTTTTGAATGAAAATGTTTTCTTGTTGTTTTGTTGGTTTTTCACCTTTTTTATTTTTTTGGAGCAATTGGAACAGATTCTAGATCCAATGGTAAAAAAAATGATCACTTTAATGGATAATTTTCATGAAAAACAAAGTCAAACAGATGCTGAACTTTCAACATTTTTCAAGTGGAAAATTATGTTAATCAATCACAAGTAATTACAATTCTCAGTAAAATAATTTTTAAACAATTCAATTTTCTGTAAATTATTTTCTTACCATCCATTTTTCACATTTGCAATGAAACGGATCAAAGTGCACTTAACTTGATCTCCACTCATTAGAGAGACTGGTGGATTGGCTAATATAGTTTATTCGGCAGGTGAAGACTACGTCACCCAAGAACTATTGTGTGCGCCCTAATGTAGGCATAACCGAGCCAAATTCAACATGTGATTTTACTGGTATCTAAGCGTTACCTGGTTGTACTTTCAAATTTCACGTTATGTCTTAAGTAAATAATTATGTTTAATGCAGTTTCTTTACGACACTTGGAAAATGAGTTTCAAAAGCTGTTTTTTTATCAATTATTTTGCGATGCATTATCATCACTAATTACATGTATCATGGCTAGCGGATTCAAAATATTAAGTCAGCTAGGGCGATAGCTGATGGCTGTAATAATAAAATTGTTTATTAATATTTAATTAAATAATGTTAAAAAAATTTCAATCAATATATAAATGCACTAAAACGTGAAAATGTCATATACATTTGAAAATATAATCCAATACAATTTAAAATAATAAGAAAAAAACATATTTTTCAATCATACATGTACGAACAAGTTTCAAGTTTTTTACGAACTCAAACGAAACAGTTTTTACGTAAATCATGATTAAATGGTAAATACAAGTTCCTAGTTTGGGCGAAGGTTATGCAAAATTTTGAAAAAAATGATTTTTAAAATTAAGACTATTTTTGACCTCAAACGAACTCAAACGAAAAAATTCCCAACTTCTAAAAGAATAAAGAACAATACTTAGATTGTCCAAATTTGAATTTTTTAAAACAAATTAATAAAACTTAACAATAAAAGTATATATATATAATAGAGTAATAATTTGAGTCAATAAATTTTTTTAAAAATTAATTCGAAAACGAAAACTAATAATATATAATTGTTTAGTTATTATTTATTGAATTAAAAATTTAAACAAAAAGTAGAAGAGCAAAGAATTGAAGCTCATACCTCCATTGTACAAAATAATCCTTTTACAATATGAGCTACACTTCTTTTGTAGAACAATGGTACAATTATTAATTAATATTTAGTTATTATTTACCATGTTTGAAAATTGAAAGAGAGAATGTCGTTGAAGGGAATCAAACCCATACCTCCTATTGCACAAAATGGTCGTTCTACCACATGAGCTAAACTTCTTTCATTGAACGCTAATACAATTTTTAATTAATATTTAGTTATTATTTAATATGTCTATAAATTAAAATAGATAATGTTGTTGAAGTGAATCGAACCCAAATGATCTACACACGATTTCCGTAAAAAAAATGTACAATAACATACATACATACATATAATTACTTTTTATAAATCTTAATTAATTTTTTTTCTGACGGATCCAGCACGAGCGACCGTCTCGACTCGTCGGGTGTTGGATCCATCCCTGATTATAGGATAGAGTTCAACTTACTTCGAAATAAAATTGTAACGAGTCCATTAGTAACACATAGTTGGTGGGGTGAAAGTTGAAATCAAGGTGCAGCATTGTACTATTCAGTGTTCAGAAAATACGAAGATCGTGATTGGGTCCCATTACATGAGAATGTCAGTAACCAACTTCCCACCCCTTCCAATCACGTTTAGCTAAGCTTAAAAGTGGCTTATAAGTGAATTTCTAATACTTCATTTAAAAGTGCTTATAAGAAGCTTATAAATGTAACCAAACACGAACCATGCTTATCTTTCACGTCCCCCTAACCCCAAACAAACCAACTAACCAACCATTCCTTTATTTGCTACCAATACCATCTTCTCTTCTGTTCCAATCCCACCCATCTTTACTACTGAAAACATTTTTATTTTCATGGAATTCTACTTTTTTTGGCCACAATTAAATAATTTTTTTGTGGGTTTCATACATCTTCTACTGTTTCTTAATTTGAAGCACAGACAAATTTTCTTGGACAACCCCACCTTGTATCACAAAAAGGTTAGGGTTTGCAGATGCTCTTTTTGTATATTTATGAGTCATTGTACTGTTTCTCTTACAGTTTTTTGTCTGTTTCTTGAAGTTTCAAAGACAAGGACAGAGACAATAAAACCGTTTTAATCTGGTGAATCGCAAAAACATGTACGAAGAAATTGGTTGTTTTGATCTCAGCAATATGCAGCAGCAAGAAGGTTTGATTCAAGCTGAGGATGGTTTCTCACAAACCCATATACCAAATTACAGCAACCCAACTTTTTCTATGGAGGAACACTTGAATTACA